AATAAAATAAAAAGAGATCAATGAGTTCTAGAGAAGGACTTAATACAGACTAGTACCAGACTGGGACCTTCTCCTTTGGAAATTCAGGATAGAAAGAGAATTGTAAATGGAACAACCTCTATACTTCAGTGATTCTTTAACGCTATGTCTTGGATCAGGGGTGTTATAACCCACATTTTGCAAACTAAGATGATAGAAATACTGCAGAACAGACAGGGAGACTAGGTTTGAATTCTCTTTTGTGAGCACCTAAATTTGTCTTGCTTGATAAGCCATTTTCGTATCCTCCAACAGCCCCTCTTCCTGGTCTTATTTTTCTTACCTATAAAATGAGGAGGTGGGTTATTTTACTCTCAAAGAGTTGATGTCCCCTATTTTTATATTTTTCCATAATCATTTATCATCATTTGTTTTCCAAATTTTTATTCATTCAAGAAAATGTTTTGAGCTCATGCACCTGGCGTTAGGTGCTGGGAATATGGCCATGAGGAAGCCATCCATGCCTTGATGAAGCTTATGATCTTTCTTTCCCCCTTAGCAATCTTCTCCTTTTTAAACTGCAGTGAGTTGAATATGTATATTACTTATTTCAAAAGACATAATAAAACTAAAAATAATGCGGCTTAAAATGTATTTAAATCCAGAGCTTTCAAAAAATCCCCCACTCCTGCCAGAACGCACAGCCAAGGCGAAGAGTGCAGTGGCAGTTTCTAAGAAGCCCACTAGAGGGCGCGCACATTTTTTTATTCCCCAAGAAAGCCTTTACGTGGGTCCTGCCCCTGAAGTTTGGCGTTGGTGTTTCTTTCCCCCACCTTCTATGCAACGTGGGGCAAGTGCGGCGACCCTTCAAGTTCTCTCACTCCACCAACCCATCCTTACCCCATGCCGTGACTTCTCTGCCAGAAGGAAGAATTATATTGCTCACACAACCACAACAGTTTCGTTTCTGTTTCCAGCATTTGTCCTTCTGACATTTTAGAAGAAATAAGATCCAAGTTTGATGTTGAAACATTGATTTCTTTAGTGAGAGGATTTCTCCTACCTATGTCTGCTCTCCTTGGTTGTAGGGGAAACACTTCTTTAAGGAGTTAGAGCAGCTCCTTTGAGCAAATCTTCCTAGGGAATCACAGGAATCTTTCTGAGCAGATGTTTTGGAGCTGACATTAGTCCCCTTGCTCAGCAACATGTTGAATTTTTGAGGTCCTGTCTTTTCATCTGAGTTTTATGTTCTGAAGTGACAAGTTCTTGACCCCAAACATTAGTTTCAGCAACCTATGACTAACCCTCCTCACAAACCATGATCCAAGAGAAACATCCAACAATTTCCCCAAAGTTCTTGCCTGGTGGTTGCCCTAGCACCTTAAGCCTCACCCTTTGATTCCAAAATTCTCTTACCTCCAAATGTCCATTCTGAGCTTTCTTTGACAGTCAGCAAAGACATTAATGAAATAGATTGTAAATATGCCCTATTGTACATGAATATGAAATTATCTTTTGAATAAGTGCCTCTCTAGTTAACACAGGAAAGACTGGGAACATGGCTTGAGAAGAAAAAAAAAAGCCAAGGGGAAGACAGGGCCTCCTTGCCCACCCCACCCATGCTTTCTGTGAACCTTAGCCAGCTTGCCCTTTAAGGAAATGAATTTTTTTCTGTGTGTGTATGTGTGAAAGGTGTCAGAAGGCTTCTGAGGCTGTAGCTTTATGCAAATATGCTACTCAAGAAGAAGGCTTTAGGGGAGAGTTATTTATATCCCACAGGCATTACACATGCAAAAGGTGAAACTGAATCTCTGAATTTCCAGGAGTGGATGTTCTTATGATGAGCACATCCTTGCAGTTAGCTATTTTGGTGGCCTTATCTCACTGTCAGATTTTTGCAGGCAGGAGACTACATAATCATTCCATAATTTTAGAATGACCCTTGATGTTTCTCTTCAGTGGGACTTCATGACCTGAACTCCCTTGGGCTTTAGATTTACTACTACCTTGGATTTGTATTCATTTTTTTACTTTCAAACAGGTACAGCACTCAGCCATTAAAAAGTAATCAGGTGGCATGTTTATTGCTCTTTCATTTTCATATCGACTCCTGGAATTAGCAAAGAAAATGACCTTTTCTCTAGGAATTATTGCCCTGCTCCATTGCTGGTTCACCATCTCCAAAAATATCGACCATTCTCCAAATTGAAATATACATTAATCACTTCAGGAAATTGCTTCCTCCATTGGAAACTGATAGCTCTCATCGGAATGTTTCCAAAGCACAGCTGATGACAATTACAACTCACTGAAATTTCAGTTTTCTTTGATTGTGACATAAAAACTGAGACATAAATTAAAACCAAGAGACTGTGAGTCAGTGTGTCAGTATCACTGGAGTACAGTGTCTGTCCCTGAAACAGCCTTTCATATGAAATGGTGGTGAATGAGGTTATCTGTGCACCGAGCATGCCAAGAGAGCACATCAGAGTGGGTGACAGATTTGGAGAAATATAGTTAGCTCCTAGGACATCTTGGAACAGTTAAAGTATGCTAAAACTGCAGTGAAAAAGGGTTAAACAAAGTCCTGGACTTCACCTGTAATAGTGCCCAATGGTGGAACAAGGAACTTAGCACCACGACTCCAGCCAGTATCTGGCTCTCCACACTTGGTGAAAGAG